ATGACCGTATACTGCAGCATTTCTTTTGGCCGGCAATGAAAGCAAATATAGTGCAGTTTTGTAACACCTGTCACATTTGCCAGCTTGTGGGTAAACCGAACAAGGTGGTGCCCCCCGCCCCTCAACGTCTTATCCCTGCTGTCGGTGAACCATTTGAGCATGTCCAGGTAGACCGTGTTGGCCCCTTACCAAAGACGCGGGCAGGGAATCAGTTCTTGTTGGGCGATCGTGGCTCAAGAGTTGGCAGTTTGTCTTGTAATCGGAAGGTTGCCGGTTCGAACCCCGGCTCTGACAGTCTCGGCCGTTGTGTCCTTGGGCAAGACACTTCACCCGTTGCTTACTGGTGGTGGTCAGAGGGCCCAGTGGCACCAGTGTCCGGCAGCCTCGCCTCTGTCAGTGCGCTGCCGGACACTGGCAGCGCACTGTCCGGCAGCTACAATGTAGCTTGCCATCACCAGTGTGTGAATGGGTGGATGACTGAATGTGTAAAGCGCTTTGGGGTCCTTAGGGACTAGTAAAGCACTATACAAATACAGGCCATTTATCATTTATTTACCATTTAACCATAATGTGTAACCAAAAAGCAGGAGTCTTTGGGGTTCAGCCCAGCTACCCTGTTGTTTGGCCATGATGTGCGGGGTCCACTAAAAGTGCTGAAGGAGAGTTTTCTCAGCGGTTGCATGCCTAAAACTAATGTGGTGGAGTTTGTGAAAACATGCAAGGACAGGTGGCAATGGGCTGCTTTGTTAGCAAAAGAGGCTCTCTGTGTATCCCAGGCCAATATGAAGAGACAGTTTGATCAGAAGGCAGTGGGAAGACAATTTCAGCCTGTTGCTTGTGTTGCTGTGCGCGCCTAATTCTGCCCTCATGGCTCATTTATCAGGCCCCTATGTAATAGTGAAGAAAGTGTCCGACACCAACTATTTTTCTCAACACCCCAGAACGCAGGAGGAAGACTCGCCTATGCCATGTTAACATGCTGAAACCATACCGCACCACAGAAACCAGCATGACAGAACAGGCAGACACCGCTGGGATCGCTGTCCCTGGTTCAGTCCCTGCTTCCCTGCTAAGTGTAGAAGTCAAGGGCGATGATGATCTGGGTACCCTTTCCGAGGGACAGCAATGTGGGCGGTTGTCAAATTCATTTTTTTTTTAGCCAAGGACGAGACCCACCTGTCTCATCTTCCTCTGTCTCAGTGTAGGGATGTACTTGACTTGTTGCACTCCTATCAGTCTCTCTTTAGTGATGTGCCCTCCCGCACCAATGTTTGTGAGCATGACATTGACGTTGGCGACGCAGCCCCAATCAAGCAGCATGCATACCGCTGCCCCGTCGTCAAACATGAGGTGATGAAAAAGGAAGTTGAGTACCTAGTAGAAAACGGCTTGGCACAACCTAGTTGTAGCCCCTAGGAAGGAAGCTTTAGCTCTTCGCCGGTGACCGTGTTCACAGATCACAATCCCCTCGTTTTTCTGAACCGGATGTGCAACCACACACCACTGACAATATCGTAGCTGATGCACTCTCATGCAGCTCACAATGAAGTGTTTTTGTTAAGTTACAAGATTCCCCCCCTTACATTCAAGCTCTACCAAAACGGTAGAGCTTGAATGTAAGGGGGGGAATGTAACATCCTGTGAGGCTTTGGGAGTGTGTGGGTGGGGTGTTTGCCCGCTCTCTCCACCTCCTCCTCTCTTGCCACTCCTACCCCCTCTGTCTCTCTCACTCTTCTCTCTCCTCAGCACACAGCTGTTTTTGATTAGCCTCGTTTGCCACCAGGGCCCAGTTAGCAATCACCTCTGAGCAGTGTTGGGCAAGTTACTTTGAAAAAGTAATTATAGTTACTAGTTACTTCTTCAAAAAAGTAACTGAGTTAGTAACTGAGTTAGTAACTAAGTTACAAGATTCTAAAAGTAATTAATTACTTGAAAAGTAACTATTGCTTTACTTTAAAAAAAAAAAAAGTTTAACCCTCTGGGGTCCAGGGTATAATTGGCCATTTTTAACTACTTTTGATTTTCTCTCTACATTTCACCTTAAAAACTATTTATTTTGGCTTGTTTGGTATCATTCTTTTCAGCACAACCTCACGTGTCTGAATTTACAGTTATGTTTTCATTTTGACATACTGTATTAACACAATTGATCTAAGAAAAAAAAAAAGGGGTTCCTTTGAGGGGTCCTGAAAAAGCGCTATATAAATGCAATCCATTATTATTATTATTATTATTATTATTATTATTATTATTATTATTATTATTATTATTAATAAAAAACAAAATCAGAGTAGAAAGTTTTACTGTAACAACCAAACATGTTTAATGAATCATATTTCATAACTTTAAATGCAAATATAAATTGTCAATTTTTTAAATCTTATGCACAAGTTTTGCAAACAAAGTTTTCAGAGAGGTAGTGTTCAGTTAATGTTTGAAGAGATTTTACAAAAGAGTATGGGTGAGACAATGATGTTCAGATTTTTAAATGTCACGGGGATTTTCTTAAGAAAATATCCAGGCCTTAAAACCGCCATGGTCCACATGGGTGACTGTAGCTCAGGTGGTAGAGCAGGTCATCTACTGATCGGAAGGTTGGTGGTTCGATTCCTGGCTTCCCCTAGTACTAACCCCAAATTGCTCTCCGATGCATCCATCGGAGTATGAATGTGTGGGTCTTAGAAAGATGTGCTTGTGCGAATGGGTGTGAATGCGAATGTGAAAAGCGCTTTGAGTGCTCAGATGAGTAGAAAAGCGCTATATAAGAATCAGTCCATTTCCCACTTTACCACTCCCTTTAAATTAGCGGCAGAAGAAGAAGCAGCAGCTAAACACGGGATGTCAACAAACGTCTAGAAACTAACTCCTCACAGCGCTTCGTTACATGTATTACCCTGACAGTGCTTGCTGCACTATATGAGTGACCTTTGTTGAAATATTGAATGCAGTACTGTAGGGTGTCTGATCCTTCAGCCTGGTTTGTGCCCCGCAAAAGCTCCAGAGACCGTCCACAGGAAGCACAAAAAGGAGTGAAGAGGCTGAAGCTAACGCCACGAAACGGGCAAAACATTTTCCATTTATCTATGCAATATCTATGTAGCAGCAGGTGTATCACTCCCGTTTTTTACCTGGAGACAGCATTCACCTCATTGTTCTGACACACAGCACAAAACTATCCACAACACTACACACTAACTACACAAGACAACACATTAACCACACACTCAAAACATGCTAAACGTAACAAATCTCTCACATCTCCAAACTCGCTCTCTCTTTTTCTGCTCTCTCTCTCTCTCTCTCTCCCTCTCTCTCTCTCGCGGTCACTCCTAAATCTTCCCCCTCTTCCTGAACAACCAAATGTCATGTTACCATATCATTTTTGATTGGTCAACATGGGGCATTTTTCCACCAACACAAAAGGGCTGTTTTTTGGTTTGTTTTTTAAATTTTTTGGTCATAAGCAGAGAGTGCTTGCTAGTGCTGTCCTTAGACAGTAAACGTGATGAAACTATTGAGGAAAAACACACGTATATTGTTTATCATGACTCTGGTTTTACGTAGCCTATCAACACAACTTAAAAACTGGTATATATCACCTTGTTGCTTTGTCATCTTGAAATGGTCGTGTGATTGGCTTACCACGACTACTTTATTGTTCCTCAGTCAAACAGCAGCACCCATGCGATTGTTTTGCCCCCCGGGGCGATCGTGGCTCAAGAGTTGGGAGTTCGCCTTGTAATCGGAAGGTTGCCGGTTCGAGCCCCGGCTTGGACAGTCTCGGTTGTTGTGTCCTTGGGCAAGATACTTCACCCGTTGCCTACTGGTGGTGGTCAGAGGGCCCGGTGGCGCCAGTGTCCGGCAGCCTCGCCTCTGTCAGTGCGCCCCAGGGCGGCTGTGGCTACAATGTAGCTTGCCATCACCAGTGTGTGAATGTGTGCGTGAATGGGTGGATGACTGGATATGTAAAGCGCTTTGGGGTCCTTAGGGACTAGTAAAGCGCTATATAAATACAGGCCATTTACCATTTAGCTCCAGGTGTTGTGTCAAAAAGTGATCGTCGGCCAGAAAGGGATTAACGCCCGCGGGAGCGCGCGCAGCTACTTAAAGCTGTAGTGCCCAGATTACTTACATAGACAGCTACTTCCGTGCAACTGATACAGCGGTAAGCTGAAGACAGCTTCGACGTCTGCTTGTTAAAAAATAGTAACGCGACCGCACCGCATTTTCTTGTTAGTAACGGTAACGACATTGTAACGATAGAAATAGCAATAGTTAAATTACTCGTTACTGAAAAAAGTAACGGCGTTACAAGGGGCGTTACAAGTAACGGCGTTATTTCCATCACTGCCTCTGAGGTTATATAAGCTGGGGATGAACTGTGAGTGAGGTGGTTTTTTCCCTCTGTGGCTCTACACATTTTTCCGCTAGGTTTTGGACAGACAGCCTCCTTGCGAGTAGTGAGTAGGCGGGCTTGTGGGCCCCAGAAGTGTCTCCCCTTGGTGAGGAGTTAAGGAAGAAGTGTGGGAAGTGCCTCCCTTATTTGTTAAAGCCGGCGTTGCCGGTTAAGGTTATTTGTAATAAAGCCATATTGTTTGTAATAAAACTATATTATTATAGAACACCTCTGTCTGTTGTCCTTTTCATTCTATTTCTAGACCCATTTGTTACTGGTCCCCACACTCACACCCCTAGACCCCTTCGTGGGGACGTAACAGGCATTGTAACGATAGAAATAGTAATTAGTTAGATTACTCGTTACTGAAAAAAGTAATGCCATTACTTGTAACGCCATTATTCCCATCACTGCCTAAAACCAGAAACGATGTAAGCACTGAATGAAAAGAAGCTGCTAGAATCTGAAGATGAAAGTCTTTAACACATCAACCACAGCCTGGTTCTTCACTCTAAGACTGCACTTCAAAAAGCAGTATAATGCAACAGGGAAGCCATTTACTAGAAGAAAACTAAGAGTATTCAAAAATTCAAGAGGAACTTACCATCAATTCCCAAAACATCTTGCTTTTGGTTCTCAGAGCACGGCTCAAATTTGCGGATGATGTCCAGGCAGTGGTCTTTACTCACCTTGGCCATCTATAAAATGTAAAAAATTCATGTCACAAATACCTCTTTGATCCAATTGGTGATCTGGCTGCACGTTTTTATTTTCATCTTGGCTTCAGGAATCAGCTGTTTGGCACCTGTCCTCATTGGTCAATCAGATTTCGACCTGACATTTTTACAATGTCTTGACACTGTTAGCGTGTTAAAGGTGTCTTTAAACAAAAGTCCAAAAATAAGACAAAGTTGAACTAAAAAATTGGAAATTGGAAACAACAAGTAGTAAAAAAAAATCTTACATTAAACAGGACATCAAGCATTTTTGTGTGTATATATGTTCATAGGGGGACTAATAATTCTGTTTTCCTCTGTATGTTGTCCTGTAATCACAGCTCAGAAACACTAGCTGTGGTATTGCTGTGTTCAGCTTTTTTATGTCATTTCATATAAAAATAAAAATGTCAACAGAAAAAGAGTTGGAACAAATGCAGAATGCACTTATTTTAATTTCAGTTTATTCCACTCCAATCAAATGTTATCTATATAGCCCCAAATCAGGTCACAGCTGGCTTAAGTTGATGTGTAATAAAATAAAAAGAACTCTCTCAGACTATCAGGCAGCTGCACTGAAAGATAACTGACTCCATGTTGTTAGATCAGGGGTCTCAAACTCCAGTCCTCGAGGGCCGCTGTCCTGAAACCTTTCCATGTGTCCCTGTTGCGCACACCTGAATACAATTAGTAGCTCATTAGCAAGAGTATAGAACTGGAACTATAGAACTTGGTTCAACCCCTAACATTCATTCCCTCATGAGCTGCTAGAACATGAATCAAATGGCTGAATTGCCTCCTCAGCATGCAGTCAAGTTCTAGAGTCTTGCTAATGACATACTAATTGTAGGTGTGTTGCAACAGGGACACATGGAAAAGTTTCAGGACAGCGGCTCTCGAGGACTGAAGTACAAGACCCCTACAAGACCCACAAACTCCAATTTGTGCATGTAAATGGAGAGTCCTCTTCACACACTGAGGTTAATTATGGAGTTCCACAGGGTTCAGTGCTAGGACCAATTCTGTTTACATTATACATGCTTCCCTTAGGCAGTATCATTAGAAGACATAGTATACATTTTCACTGCTATGCTGATGACACCCAGCTCTATCTGTCCATGAAGCCAGAAAACACACACCAATTAGTTAAACTGCAGGAATGTCTTAAAGACATAAAGACCTGGATGGCCGCTAACTTTCTGCTTCTTAATTCAGATAAAACTGAGGTTATTGTACTCGGCCCTGAAAATCTTAGAAATATGGTATCTAACCAGATTCTTACTCTGGATGGCATTACCTTGGCCTCCAGTAACGCGGTGAGGAACCTTGGAGTCATTTTTGACCAGGACATGTCCTTCAATGCACATATTAAACAAATATGTAAGACTGCTTTCTTCCATTTGTGCAAAATCTCTAAAATTAGAAATATCCTGTCTCAGAGTGACGCTGAAAAACTAGTTCATGCATTTATTACTTCCAGGCTGGACTACTGTAATTCATTATTATCAGGATGTCCAAAAAACTTGCTGAAAAGCCTTCAGCTAATCCAAAATGCTGCAGCAAGAGTCCTGACAGGGACTAGAAAGAGAGAGCATATTTCTCCTGTTTTGGCTTCCCTTCATTGGCTTCCTGTTAAATCCAGAATTGAATTCAAAATCCTGCTCCTCACATACAAGGTCTTAAATAATCAGGCCCCATCTTATCTTTAATGACCTTGTAGTACCATATCACCCTATTAGAGCACTTCGCTCTCGCTCTGCAGGCCTACTTGTTGTTCCTAGAGTATTTAAAAATAGAATGGGAGGGAGAGCCTTCAGTTTTCAGGCCCCTCTTCTGTGGAACCAGCTTCCAGTTTGGATTCAGGAGACAGACACTATCTCTACTTTTAAGATTAGGCTTAAAACTTTCCTTTTTGCTAAAGCATATAGTTAGGGCTGGACCAGGTGACCCTGAATCCTCCCTTAGTTATGCTGCAATAGATGTAGGCTGCCGGGGGATTCCCATGATGCATTGAGTTTTTCCTTTCCAGTCACCTTTATCACTCACTATGTATTAATAGACCTCTCTGCATTAAATCATATCTGTTATTAACCTCTGTCTCTCTTCCACAGCATGTCTTTATCCTGTCTTCCTTCTCTCACCCCAACCGGTCGCAGCAGATGGCCGCCCCTCCCTGAGCCTGGTTCTGCCAGAGGTTTCTTCCTGTTAAAAGGGAGTTTTTCCTTCCCACTGTTGCCAAAGTGCTTGCTCATAGGGGGTCATATGATTGTTGGGTTTTTCTCTGTATCTATGAAGCGCCTTGAGGCGACTTTTGTTGTGATTTGGCGCTATATAAATAAAATTGAATTGAAATTGAATTGAATTGTTGTACATGGTGTAACAGTGGTAAGCAATGTTGCCTCACAGCAAGGAAGTCTTGAATTCGACTCCACCATCTGGCCGGGACCTTTACGTTTGGAGTCTGCATCGATGGAAATTCTATGCACAACAACCCATAACGTCAAAGCTAAGAAAAACAGCTCCATCAGGTTTGAGGTGTGGGCCTTTTCCAAATCGTGTTCGATTAACTGAAATTACTACAGCTGGACTCCAATCACGTTCTAGAAACATCCGACTGATGATCAGTGGAAACAGGATGAACCTGAGCTCAGTCTTGACTGTTATGGCAAAGGCTGTGAATACTTATGTACACACTTTACTGTTGCTTTTTATTTTAATACATCTTCAATAATTTCAAGCAAACTTTTCTCACTTTGTCATTAATGTGTATTGTGTGTAGACGTTTGAGGTGATAATTTGTAGCTAGACTCACAGAGATGTGCCCACCTGCTGTAGTGCAGGATATGGGATTTAAAGCACAATCAGCAACATCTTAGTTTGGCTCTGATCAGCAGTAAACTGACTGGTGCAACTCTATTTTCTAAGTCTGCAGATGAGTAGCATTGTGGGTTTTCACAGTAAAGAACACCACGAGAAATAATTTAAAACAAAAACAAAACAAAACAAATTAAAAAAAGAGCCGCTTCAATAAGCAAAGTAACTTTGAGTCCCATTAGAACCAGTTTGTACCTTTTGCTCAATCTCCAGGAAGCGGGCCAGGTCATCAGTGTTGAGATGGTCCTTGTGGTTGCTGTAGCTGAGCATGAGGAGGTACAGATCCCTGCGGGTCGACATCATCTTGTAGAAGGAACAAAACTCCTCAAAGCCCAGAGTTCCCTGGGTGTCATCTGTGTCTGCCTCCTACACATCAGGTACGAGACAAATTTCCAGTGTTAGAAAACTGTCTTAATACCGTAATATTGCAATACCTAATACTCTTTATAGTGCTTCAAGCAGGACTACAGAGTTTCCTTGTTTGCCTACTAGATAATAATAAAAGATCAGAATTGATTATTGTGATATTTACAGCTGATTTTGTCTTTTGTCTGCAGAGCAGCTTCATGCACACTGGGCTCACAACATTAGAGACTTATACACATGCTTCTATGGCAGGGGTGGGCAACTCCAGGCCTCGAGGACCAGTGTCCTGCAGGTTTTAGATGTGTCCTTGAGCCAACACAGCTGATTTAAATGGCTAAATGACCTCTTCAACGTGTCTTGAAGTTCTCCAGAGGCCTGGTAATGAACTAATACTTTGATTCAGGTGTGTAGACCAAGGGTGAGATCTAAAACCTGCAGGACACCGGGCCTCAAGGCCTGGGTTGTTGCTGCCACATTTTTCAAATCAGTTTGTACCAAATATCTTAAGTGATGTAAATTCAAGACTTTTATCCAAATAATATGTTCAGACTCAATGTACCGAGCCTCCGTTAGAGTCCCATCAAAGTTGTGCTGGCAGTGGGAGCTAAACATCTTATGGACTGGGGCCTCTGCCAAGCCAGGTCTGCATCTTTAATCTCCAAATGATCCAACTCACCACCGATGATACAATTATTAAAACCTGTAATAATGATAATAATATTACTATCATTATTATTATTTTAAAAATAACACCTTCCCTGACCCAAAGGCGCTATAGATCAGTGGTCCCCAACCCCCGGGCCTCGGACCGGTACCGGTCCGTGAGTCGTTTGGTACCGGGCCGCGAGAGTTGAGGCTCAGGTGTGAAATGTATGGTTTTCAGGGTTTTTATCGGTTTTCAGCGTTATTTTGTTATCGTTATGTTACTCGGTTTTCCTGGGTCTTTTCACGTGTGTTATGAATAAATTTTCTTTTTTTCGGTACCGGTACTAGTTTTATTTTGTTGTATTTATCCGCGACACCTTAAAGGCCGGTCCATGAAAATATTGTCGGGCTTAAACCGGTCTGTGGCGAAAAAAAGGTTGGGGACCGCTGCTGTAGATGATATAAAACAAAACTGAATTATGTTGAAATTGAATTTTTTTAGGATACAGTGGTGTGAAAAAGTCTTTCCATGCTTCCTGATTTCCTATTTTTTTATATGTTTGTCATACTTGAATGTTTCACATCATGACACACATTTAAATATTAAAAAGAAATATTACAACTGTGGTTTGCTGGAGTCCCACAGCTTTATAACCTCAATTAGTTTCTCACTTGTTCCTGAATATTCCACTTTATCAGGCAGGCCCTATTTGGGTAACTGAGAGCAAGTGTGACAGTAACCAGGCCTGGGTGTGGCTTTCCAAAGATGTGACACAACACAGTTCATTTATGTTATAACTAAGGGCAATCACTTTTCCCACACAGGGCTACGTAGGGTTTTATTCTAATTCACCTTTCCTTCAGTCTGTTGTACTGCTGTAACAAGTTAGTTTATGGGATTATATAAAATCTGTCTAATAAATGAATTTAGGTCCAGCATTTAAAGTAAGTCTGTCACGTGTGATGCAGTAAATTAAATAATATTTGTGTTGTTCTTTGTAAACAGTGAAAACAGCACGTAAGGGAAATGCAGCTTAAAGGCATCATCATCATTCTAGCCTTACTGACTCCCATTTCTTATTTATGAACCAATATACTCGACAGCTAATATCCACTAATTCACCAATCAGTCCAGCCGCTTCTTGTTCCTACAAAGCTTGCACCCCACATGCACATGTGCAAGACTCCACTGTGATTAATCAGTGAGCAAATCCCCTGCTGAAGAGCCGTGCTTCTTAACATTTTATTTAGTACAATAACACCTCCAGCTGTTACATCCAACCTGTGTCAATAACGATGTAGCTCTGCTTTGTCACTACAAATGTATACAGGTCTCCATTTCCTGGAACAAATACACAACAAGGCTAGATCAGATGGTACCATGCGAGGGACGCCTGTTGCAGCAGCTTTTTGTATGGTTGTCAATGAATCTTGTATTTTTCAGGCTTGCTGACTGTGGCTCAGCTACATAAACCATGTGTGTTCAATTTTATTTATATAACGTCAAATCACAACTGCTCACTGCCCGTTATATTGTAAGGTTAAGACCCTACAGCAATACAGAGAAAACCCTCTGGCAATCACTTGGTGACAGCAGGAACGAGAAGATTCCCCCTTTAAACAGCGAGAAACCTCCAGCAGAACCAGGCTCGGGGAGGAGCAGCTATCTGCCACAACTGGTTGGGGTGAAAAGAAGAAGACAGGACAAAGGACACATCAGGGCTTTATGAGAATGATGTTTTTGGATTTTTCCGGTGCCATTAATCCTTTGGGGTCCAGGATGAAATTGGCAGTTTTTCACTAATTTAACTTCACATTTATTTTTCAGTTTTAAAAACAGTTTACCTTCTTTGGCATCATTTTTTTCAGCACAACCTCATATCTGGCTGTACAGTTAGTTTTCATGTTATTGATCCATGAAACCGGATAAAACAAACCAATTAGTTAAACTGTGGGAATGTTTTAAAGACATAAAGACCTGGATGACCTCTAATTTTCTGCTTTGAAATTCAGATAAAACCCAGCCCGAAAAATCGTAGGTAATGCTATCCAGAAAAAACAAAAACAACTTACTCTGGATGGCATTACCTTGGCCTCCAGTAACGCTGTAAGGAACCTTGGAGTCATTTTTGACCAGGACATGTCCTTCAATGCACATATTAAACAAATATGTAAGACTGCTTTCTTCAATTTGTGCAACATCTCTAAAATTAGAAATATCCTGTCTCAGAGTGACGCTGAAAAACTAGTTCATGCATTTATTACCAGCACAGAGAATGTGCTGGTATTGTCTTACCAGGTCCGTGAGATCTTCGACTCCCACCTCCAGCAAAACATCAACAGCATTCTGAAATGGCTGGGGACATTAAGTCCAAATGGACCACATTCTGCACCTCTATTGTTGAGGCTGCTACAAGGAGCCCAAAAAGGTGAAGGGAGAAGGGAGCCATCAAACTGAAGGAGGAGTCCTACTGGGCTTGGTTACCTAGTGGGACTTTGGACACAGCAGATCAGCTGAATGCTTGAAGAGAAGAACGTTTTAGGAGTGACAATGGTGAGAGAGCAAGTGATAACGAGTTTTGAGATGTGAGGCCGGCAGGTTTCAGCCCTGCGATGTGTTCCTCTGTCTTGTGGTGGACAGAAACTATTTTTGGAGTGGCACAAATAAATTGCGCCGCATCTTAATTGTTCTGTAATTTTAGCGGTAGGAATATTTTTAAATGGTTGTCCCAAAAAAAAAAAAAAAAAAAAAAAAAAAAAAAAAAAAAAAAGACTTGAGGCTTACTTTATGCAGAAGTTTTTTAATTTACAAATTACAGTTGCATTTCAAGTTATGAAGATGATTCAATAAACATCTTTGTGGTTTTTACAGTATAAGAAGAATCTAACCATTTCCTACTCAGGCTTTTTGTTTTTTATGTGGTTTAGATCAGTTCTCTACAGTATGTATATGTAACTATTAATTTAGACATGTGAGGATGTGGTGAAAAGAATGATATCATTTAAGGCAAGCTAAATAGTTTTTAAAGGTAAAATCAAAAGTAGTGAAAAATTGCCCCACTGGGTAAACAAACGCTGTCTTTAAGGACAAGAGCTTATTCATTTGTAACCCGGGCATCCATGGTGTTCGTATGGAAAAAGTTAAATGGATGCACACCCACCTGCCCTGTTCCACAGTGGTTCACTGCAACTTTTTCCCTCTAACAAGTTTTACTGAAAATTCACTTGCTAGTTTCCCAAGTAGAGAAAAGTAATGTTGTCTGATACAATACTACTAATACATCCATGGAAATGTTTAGTTATTTATGGTTAGATTTGATGATGAAGTCTGTGGTGCACTGGTCTACCCTCATTTACATGACTGCACTGCTTTATCTGTTCTCTCTGTGTGCCTTTTACTGTTCATTCTTGGTGTGGTAAAGTATATTCACTAACGTGTGGAATGTGATCATATGTAGTATCGCTACACACTGAGAAAGAGGTAAGGACACTATTATTTATCTTCATTGTAAGTAGATTAAACCAAAGAATGAGTTTAGAGATCATTAACACACAAATCCTCATCAGTGTCAGAACACACCTGCAATACGCCAGAGGCCATCTGTGTCCCAGCAGCACCATATGGCTGACTGTCAATAGATCGTTTGACTTAGTGACAGGAATCCGGCTAAAAGGGCCAAATCAACCTTCAGCACACTAATCCTTTAGCCAACATCTATATTAGTCACAGTCTGTTCCCTGCTCACTCACACACTGCTGTCTCATGTGACCTAGCAACACCTTTCTTGACCTGGATTGACAGTGGATCATATTTTACACATTTTACAAGCTGCATTAGCCTTTGCACTAGCAAGCTTAGTAAGTCATGGATCACATCCACTTGTAGATGCTGTTGCATTGCTGTAAGTAAATTAACCAACAGCCTCTGGAGTGAGTTTTCTTTAAAGGAATACTACAACCGTTCACTTTATACATGGGAATTAATTTGTACCAAATAATATCAAATGTGGACATTTTAATTTAAAAGCATAATCTCCCCCCTAGCTCTCAGCCTCATATCCAATGCATTGAATAATTTACCTAATCCTATAAAGCTGGCCAGTGCAAGGAGATCGAGGTTGGATATGGATACAAGTGGAATATTTTTGCATCAGAAGACGCGAAAGCAGGCATGAGTGCAGCAGAAGATGATGGTGGTGCTTGTTAGCAATTTCAAGCTGTTAGCTGCACCTTGACCCTGCCCTCGGGGTGGCTGTAGCTCAGGAGGTAGAGCAGGTCAACTGCTAATCGCAAGGTTGGTGGGTCGACCCCTGGCCTCTCCAGTCTGCATGCCAAATATCCAAATATCCAAATATATGCAGGTTGTTCCCCGATGCATTAGACTTGTGAATGCCAGAAAGCATAGGTGGGGAATAAACGGTCCATTTAGAATTTTTTACTTGAATTTTCCCCACAGGCAGAACTATGAGTCTCTGTATTTTAAATTGTGACAAAACACAGGCCAAAGCTCAGATGGGTTTTACAGACCGTCACTCACAGGACAGATCTGGTGTAGTAGTAGCTCCACTACACCAGTGCTGGGCTTGATAAGTTCAGAGTAATTGTAAACAGGTGACCATTTAAAACAATGAAATGCAGAGTTTCCAAACTTTCTTAGCAGTGTTAACAACATCTTTGACCAAAAAACACTACCTGTCTGATGACTGTGCAAATGCAAAGAAAGAACACATTGCAGTATCAGATATCTTGGGCCACATAGGAAGCCATATTATTTGTCAGTTACTTGCATTAAAATGCTCCAACAGGAACCAGCAGCACAAAGAGATTTGGAGAAGTGCCTCAAAAGAGTTATATATGATCCACAGGCGTAAACCAAGATGTAGAACCCCAAACTAAGATGCAGTGGAGGCTCAGATGTCCCAGTTTTACACTGGAAATTGAATGTATCTTACATTTGTGGATCGGTGAGAAGATGGCAGCATTAAATTTGTCTCAAAACAGATGGTGGACACTGTGCGTATCAGGCGATTCGTCCACACATATTTAAGGTTTTGTAAGTGACCGAGAGAGATGCTGCATGTAGTTTTACACATTTGTACGGTTTTCAGAACGTAAAATGATCAGATTTATGAGCTGAACTAATAAATCGTACGTACACGATCAGTATTTATTGTTTGGCTGTACACATTTTTAAAATTGTTTTTGCAATTTTGCGTAAAGATTTGTGTAAAGATTTCTTTTCATGAGTCCAGTTCAGTGACTGAGGGAGGTGAGGCCCAGCCACAGGGTTAGCACATGACGACTGTAGCTCTGACTGTGAGAAAGATTGATTTCAGCAGCTGCTGACAGAAGACACGTTTTCCATTCACAGTGCTACGATAAATCAAAGTGCTATTGGTCTTTAAACACCTCACTAAACCATGTGCCCACACATGCCTTTGTGTCCCGTACGGTCCTCCTGAGTCTGGAGGTCACTCAGGTTAATTTGCTCTGTACCTTGAACATCTGTTTGACCTTCTGTCGGGGCAGGTTGACATTGAGTTTGTGCAGGAGCTGGAGAACTTCGCTGATGCTTAAGCTGCCATCGCCATTCTTATCAGCCTCTGTGAAGGTCTGCTTTAGCCATGTGGTGACACTCTGGTTAAGGAAAGTCACCACAACAGTTCAGCACATTTATCGTTTATAACCAGAGCAGTGTAACGTCAGTGCAATGGGTCAGTTCAGCCTGTCAATGCTTTAAATTGCCCTCTATTAATGTTTTGAAATTCTACAGTATGTAACATATGCAGTTACACGATACAGGTGAAGAGGCTGAAAGTAAACAGTACAATGAAAAGGATATTGGTCACGGGTGCGCTGCCTCTTAGCAAGGCTGTCCTCATCACTGATCCCAGCCACCAGGTACTTGAGGCCTGTGATCCAAGTGCGTGCCTCCTCACCAGTCGTGGACACCAGGTCCAGGGACTCCATGTGTTCTCCATAGTAGAGGCTGAAGCAACAGTTTGGATCAAAGCTGCCCTCTGCATAGCGCTGGAAGATCTCAGACTGCTTACCCTCACACACCTCCCGGATGGAGTCAATGGAAACTGTTGGAGGACACAACAAGTCGGTGAGTTAGCGGTATAAGGTAACTTTAACACAGTATGGGAGTAAACAGACCATGAGGTATAATAATAATATTCATAATAATAATAATAATAATAATAATAATTTGATGTACTCTGGCTGTTGAGTCATTTGTTCTTGTGTATCGTTTTTCTAACTTTATTTTGAGCCTTACTCTTGCTGGGTTGTGTATGCTGCCATCTGGTTGTTAGTGTTCTTTGCATACCTCACAGGGGGAGTTACTATAATAAATTCAAGTTCTTCTTATTGCTATAATTTTATAAATTATGCACAAGCGTAAACTGTGTTCAGAGTGTTGAGCATTAGGAGAACGTCTGGAATCACTGTCTGTTGCTGATGATGGCGATGATAACGTCAGTTGTCCGGTCCTTGGAGGAGGGGGACAAGTCACAACTTTTCCATTTATACGCTTGTACAGCTGGCTGTATTTCACCTACAGTTCAGCATTTTAACAGCTCAGGATTGGTTTAAACTCCGAAACAAATAAAGTTCAGTTAAGTGCCTGTGCTCTCTGATAGAACAGGCACTTAATTACTGATAACATTCAAGTTTTAAACAAATGATGCTTAGTTCTGACCACATCACAGACAGAATCTCTGTCCTCAGGTCGTCACACTGCAGCTTCGTAAAACAACAACAATCTGTAGTAGATGCTCTGATGCAGAAATAGGAGCATCAGAGCATCACATGACTTCAGTTTCCTGATGGAAGGAACCACTTATTTTCTCTTCTCCTGTAATTTTGTCTTCTGCATTTCTTTGTTTTCTTAATTCTGGTTTGTTCTGAGGTTAACTGCTAACTTAATTGTAAGCATATTCTCATGTTTTTGCCACTCAGACACTGAATTTGTGTGGCTTGTTCACTTTTTGCAAGAGAAACGTCTTTGCTGGGAACATCCATTGGGGCTAATGACATCTTCTTTGTCCACTATTGTGCAACTTTAGTGACACAGTATAAAGTAAGTATAGGAAATGTAAGCAGAAATGTAGCCTTAGTAGTGTTTACCTTGGAAATGTGAAGTACAACACGAGTGCTTAAATGTTTAGTTTATAAATAACAGCAAGTTAACCTCGTACGTTGTTAGGAGCCTGCACAGTATCATCACATAAATAAAACTCTTTTCTACGTGGGGTGGGGCTTTTTTTTTACCACTTACTTCAACCCATCTCTTCTGCCATGCAGCCACATCAGTAACTTCTATGAAGCATTTGCACTTCCTGTAATATGGAGTGCAGCAATCCTCAGCTGAGTGTTGAGTGGCTGCACTTGTAATTGTTTATGCCACTAGTGTTGAAACAAGTCTGGTGTTTTTACTCTCAGCAGGAACAGCTTCCTGGCATATTTTAAGCAGTATTGTGCTTTGGTGGAGGCCCGATCTCTTGTAGCTCTGGTCATCACAGGCTGACAGGTGGCTCTTGCTCTGAGCCATGTTTGGGCTAATGACACGCTGACACCATGTAATCGACTGATTTTTCAGTAAAAATGAATACAAGGACGGTATGATACAGCATGACACATCCCCATAATCAGTTACAGAAGATGCTTAAAGTTAGTGGTACTTTACATGTTGCTGCTACTCCTGTTAGCCTAACAGTCCGCTGATTGGCTTCAGCATGTGACACTGAACCAGTGGGTGTGTCTGTGGGCAAGTCACTGCTGTAGACCACAGCAAGGCTCGCAAAATTTCAAAATCTCTGGTAGCCCTTCGGGCAGGCATTCTTCAGTTTTTGGTAGCCCAAAATAAATTTAAGGAGCCCGAATAAAAAAAGAAAGCAATTTTTTAATGTTTTGTTTCCATTACAATATTATACATTAAAGTATAATATTGTAATGGAAACAAAAATTAATCAAAAAAAATTGTTAAAATAAAAATCACAACAACTGTATAAAAATTACAATCATCAACTCAAATACTTGGTTCAAATTGAACAGAAATTTCTATGAACTTGTAAGACTGCTAAATTTTCAGTGGTAGTTCACTCTTTGCAATATAGCACGCTGTTCTAAACAGCTTTTTCAGGAGTTCTTGTTGTGCTTGGTTTATTTTTAGTATGTTTTTTGCAATTGCTGTTTGTTCCTGGAAAGATATTGCAGACTGGGCAATAATGCATTTCTTGCATTTCTCATGGGTTCTGATGCGGTCTTTCTTAAAACTACTAGTCCCAGTAACAAAGGTGCTTGTCGACTCAGAAATCAAATGAAACTCACAACACACCTGGCAGAACATCATGTTATTTAGCTCGTCATATTCCAGCCACAGAAATTCTTTTGTCCATGAAACCAAAAAAAGCTGCGCTTTCTTTTTGCCTCATAGTCTGATTTGTCATAACTTTTCCGTTTTGTGGTAAGCTTTTCTTTGGCTGCCCCTTCTTCACCCTGACCTGTCTTATTTGGCTCAGCAGAACTAAAATACCAGCGTAAATCCTGCTGCTTTTACACACGCACTCACATAACGGTCAGCGATTCTTTGCGCACTCAACCTCTCACATGTTTAAGCTTGCTGCGAGAGATTTCACTTGTCGCGTTTGAACAGTAAGCTAATGAGTGATAAGACGAAGTCAGAGGAAATGGTGCGCAATTAATCGTCACTCACCAATCAGTGCTGCTGCTCTCTACACACCATTCGCGCGATCGCAAAATGAAAGTGAAAGCAAAAAAACAAGCGCAAATTCAAAAGCGATTTCAATATGTCGCATATTGACAGTGGCTCATCGATGCCAATGACATAATTACTCAGCTACATTGGCGAAAGAAAGCAAAAGCATAGACATATTTTCCTTCCTATGATAGCCCGACGGGCAGGGCTGAGTTAGATTTTGGTAGCCCGACTGGAAAAAAATCGCTAGCCCCGGGACGTCGGGCTAGCGATTTTGCGAGCCCTGCACAGAGCAGAGCTCTGCACCCGAGCTGAATCAATGAAAAACTGCCTTATTTAATTTGAAAACGTTTTTGTTTTTTTTGTTTTTTTTAGAAAGGATGTTCTCCCACCACCACAACCCCCTCCAAAAAAAACCCTAATAAATAAATAAATAAAGCTCTAATTGTTTTTAACTTTCAAGGGAGCATGTGTGTTATTTTGTGTGTAGGACACTCTGCGGGCAGATTAAAGCTGATGAATAATTAAGTTGACTTAAGAAGCTCATTAAATCCAGGGATGGAGCAGGCAGAGCAACAGGGAACCGAGTCCCTAAGCTGCTATGAGACCTCATTTCTACTGAGAGCTACTGCTGAAAATCCCCTTTGATTCTTTTCTAAAACACTCAAATCTTTTTTGTCGTTGTTGCTTTCTTTTGGATTGGAAGTGTTTCAGGCCATTGGGGAAATTTATTGGAGTAAGAGTTAAACCTATAAGACCTTTAAAGCCTGAAACAGTGAAAGGTAAACAGGGGAACAATGTGCACTTAACCATGAATCTGTCAAAGACCTTTGGAGATGATCTGCTGTTTCTAGCTGAGCAGTTAAACTGAAGCAGATCTGAGATGCTGAGCATGTATAAAAGGTAACCTCATATATTACTATTGTGACTCGTACCTTTCTGACCCCAACTGGTCATGGAGGAAGCAAAACAATTACCAAAAGGTCTCAGAAGCACATGACAATACTATTGTGCCAAAAATTAAAAGAAACATATGGAACAATAGTCCATAACTGGCTTCTTATTAACAGCCAAAGCTTTTTAATGGGCCGATCCATTATGCTGTTCGACCAGCTTTGCAAAGCTTGCCCATCCTCCTCCTTAGTCTTCAGTCTCAAAGGCTGTCATTCTCCACTTTTCATGTAACTTATATAGAATCTTTACTGAGGGGACTGTGCACTTCTCAAGCATAAGTAGTCAATGCTTTACAAGCTGCTGACTCAATCTGAGGCCATTTGAATGCTTTATACTCTTCAAACACTTTATCCTTGCACTGGATTCTGCAATGACCAGCTACTCTGTTTTAGCTTTCAGCTGTTTAGCATGTAATATCTTCCTCCTTGTTTACTTCAGACTTAGCTAAGAAATAATATTATGAATCTTATTCACTTTTTTATACTTAATACTCATTGATTGTGCTGTTGACATCCACTTTTCTGTATTTTCTATAAACTCTGGCATTGCTGCTAATTTGGGCCTCCTCCAGTTACATTGATCTGCTTATCCTTAGGTCTCTTTTGTTATCCACCTGAAATCAGTTCTTATTTCTTCTTTCAACTTAGTTTGTGTCTATTGTGCTAGCAATATTGTTGCTACTACTAAGCCGGTCTGTGTTCAGCTTTCAGAATGACATGCAGGAATAAATCTTCTCATATATTCTTTTAACATATTTGCTTAAAGTTACATTTGGTCAAAGTGCTGGTATTGTATAAAAGACTGTACGCTGCCACTCAGACTATAAATATATGATCTTTCAGAATATAATTCTTTGTCTGTATTGCCCGGCCTTATGTTGTATCCTTCACTGAAGATGTAGCTCACACTCAGGACGATCGAGCTGAGATATCTTTGCAAGGACAACATGTAGAAATAGCTCTGAAATTTCAATAAAGCCTCACCTCTCACTAAAAATATGGTTCCGGTAGCTTCAGGCACAACATTAAGGCCACCTGCCAATATTATGTTGGTCCATAGTTTGCTGTCACTACACCCCTAAAGGTGTGCTCAAACACACCTTTGTGGGCCTCCACAGATTGCTCAGGACATCCTACAGATGCTCAGCTGGACTGAGATGATGGAATTTGATTTGAAGGCCAAGTCAGCACCTTGAACTTCTCGTTGTTCTCCTCAAACCATTCTGAGAACGTGGACGGCACAACCCAAGGTTCCCCAGCAGAACATTGCCCAAAGCATCACGATGTACGCCCTCTTTACTGTAATACTTCCTGGTCCCATGTGTTCCCAGGTAATACACACATGACGTTAAGTCAAGTCCTGATAATCACATGCCCATTGCAGGCGTTTCCTGTCTGCAGCTATGCAAACCACGATGGACTGTGTATTCTGACAGCTTTCTATCAGAACCAGCAGTGAGCCTTGGCCACCCATGACTCTGTCAACTATGGTTGCTCTATTGGACCATTTTTGATACTGACAATGGCAGAATGTGAATACCCCACAACAGCTTCAGAGATGTTCACACCCTGTCATCTAGCCATCACTATTTAGCTTGTGCCAAACTCATCCAAATCCTTATGCCTCCCCATTTTTCCTGCTTCTAACATGAACTTGGGTAATTTATTCAGTTTCTTGCTGGTGCCGTGATGAAAAGATGATCAGTGTTATTCACCTTACCTGTCAGTGATCATAATGTTACGCTTGATCAGTGTATATTTGAAGTCCCACAGTAGCGACACACAGCTTTCTTACTGTGCCTTTAAGAAGACAACACTCACTCTTGGCCTTTTCATTCTTGCGTGACGGCCTCCAGCGGATGCAGGACTTGTGTTCGTCCAAATAGAAGAACCGCACGAGTCCCTTGGAGCTGCCGCGGAGCTTCAACATCTGGGTCCCCATCTGCATGGAGCTCATGCATTTCTCCACTGCAGGAAAGAAAACACAAAACAAAACAGACAGACGAAAACACGGAATATTGTCAAAAGGGAAACTGCTGGAATGTGCACTGAAATTCACAGGAAAGCATGAAACAGAAATGTACATACAGTGCATGTTTTCATTCAAGAAGTATGTATGTGCACATGAATATATATGTGTAGTTCATCAAAATCCATCAGAATTGTAAAGCAAAGCAATTGTTCCCTCCAAAGCAAGTGAATGGTGTGGTAATCACAGTAGAGCCACACTAGATGGTGTGGGAACCACATGTCCCTGTGCCGTGGTTACACCCCGCCTGACCACATCAGTTTCATTTTTCTGTAGCATCCACTGTTTTCACAGCAGCATGCAGGAAACTAGGCCACATCCGCATTCACACATCCACACCATGTTAGGACACCTAACATGCCTGTTGCATTAGTAATGCTGCATTTAAGGTAATGTGAGGCAGGCAAACTGTTTTTATTAAGAAAGTGGGAATCTGTCCTTAAAAGTGTTCGTGCTATAAATTCTCACCAAAAATATGCAGATAGTCGTACAGACGACTCGCTGTGATCATGGAAACTAATGCACTGGATAATCTTGTGTGGCAGAGAAGAAGTGAGCGGCCTCTTGGCTTTAAGCGAACACAAGTTTTATTTTTTTGAAGAATCAATAGTGAAGCCACAACAATGCCCACAGACCAATGCTTCATCACAGCATGCCTATTGAGCTGCACCACTCACACATTTTTCACACCGTACACCAGAAACAGCATTGATTTCTGTTTTTCTGATGAAAGATTTTTGTTACAATTTAGATACAAATTTTGAATGTCTGTTTTACAGTAACAGTCAAGTCATTCTAATGCTGTGTTGTAGGGCTGCTCGATTATGGCAAAAATGATAATCACGATTATTTGACGATATTTATTTAACCCTTTAAGACCTACCATAGAACCAAGTCCACCAGAGCTTATATTATTTTTTTTACATGTTGTAGTGCCATTTGTGGGAGCATTTCAAGTTGCTATACATCAATACAACTGTTATAGCCCATATTTTAATAATATGTATGCATTAAGTTTTACAGTAATTGTAATTGTAATATGTAATTACTATGGACTTAATGCATACATATTATTAAAATATGGGCTATAACAGTTGTATTGATGTATAGCAACTTGAAATACTCCCACAAATGGCACTACAACATGTAAAAAAAATAATATAAGCTCTGGTGGACTTGGTTCTATAGTAGGTCTTAAAGGGTTAAATAAATATCGTCAAATAATCGTGATCTCAATTTCAGTGAAAATAATCGTGATTATCATTTTTGCCATAATCGAGCAGCCCTAATAATATGTATGCATTAAGTCCATAGTAATTACATAAATTGCAAAAAAGTGCAATAAACTACAAAAAAAATTGAAAATCGCTTTTGTTTTGTTTACATATATTTCTACTTGGAGAAATTTAAGAGGTTTATCCCTCAAAACTTTAAATACAAAAAAGTTGCAAAAAATAGTTTACAACAACAGGAAATTTATTTTGGGTGTCTTCATAGTTTTATTTTGGAGATACAGCAATTTTTATATACTGCAGGAAAAACAAAAAACAATCCTATGATGCAAATTTGCAAAGAAAACAGCATGTGCATCATTTCACTGTGGGAAGTGTTACGAACAGCTGATAGGAACGGCAAAGCGTGTTTCTGGAATATTATGTTTTTGTTCCTGCAAGCGCTTTTTATGCAATTTTTGCAAAGCTATATGTGGAACGAAACCGTGACCGAGGACAAGCTGATGGCATCAGATGTAAGTACAACTCCTCCGGTTTCATATGCAAAACAAATTATTGCGCTAGCTTACACGGTTCAGATTCTACAGGGATTTAAAAATAGTTACGCAAAACGGAGCGTGCTGCTCTGACCGGCTTTAAAGGGTTAACAATGACTTTAAAAAAATAATATAAAATAGTGTGCAACACCACTGACGTTTTGTTTGTTTTTTAACTCTCTTTTCAACCAACGGCAGTCACTCTCCAAATAACTTCTGCTTAGCTTTCCGAGCTTTCCTCGGGTCCTCTTAATCAGCGGTCTCCAACCTTTTTTGCGCCACGGACAGGTTTATGCCCGACAATATTTTCACGGACCGGCCTTTAAGGTGTCGCGGATAAATGAGGGAGGGGCTAATAATCGGCTCAGTCATTTTTAATGATTGTTGAAAGCCCAGATCGTAATCGTGATTAAAATTCGATTAATTGAGCAGCCCTACTGTGTTGTCAATAAGTCTAAGTGTCAAGTGTAAAATATTTTCAATTGTTCAAAAAAAACAAAAAAACCCACCTGACTCGAGCCATATCAAGCTAGCAAATTGTTCCCGTAACATAATCAAGCTGTGAGATTTTTACTGTACTCCACATGGCAGAGCTACATAAAACCCTTACAGTAGTACTTACAGTAACACTAGCACAGTTGTGTGCTATGTGTGCTGTGTGTAAGCCCGCTGGTATGCTGCAGCAGTATGCTGCAGTATGCTGTGATGTGTTTTTTCTTTCCCCCTATGACATATTGCAACATATTGAGCAGACGTCACAGATTTGGGATGAATGCATGAATTAAAGAAATGTTACAGCAAATCAAAGCATGTGCATATAGTGTTTCAGGACAACGTTAACTACTCAAAGAAAGTGTACACATTTTGCATGTTGTTGAAATTTTAAAATAATGTTTTATGGCTCTGAGTTGGCCTGAATGTGTGCACTGCGCTTTCATGAGCTTGAGGCATCACAGCAGGATAAAATCATATAAGGTAGGTCATATTTTAGTCCATTCTTATAATGCCCATCTTAGACTTCTGTAGAGAACCTTTGGAAAGCTTAGGACATAACATGCATTACATGTTAATTGTCGTGTGGCCGTGTCACAAAGTTTCATATGCAATGGCAGCTGGTAGAGAAATATAAAATCCAGGTGCTGAACCTGCCAATCACAGCAGTTGTGGGCTGCATCGACCAAGCATAAATTGGGTATAAGTGACTAAAGGCAGCCAAACTCCAGTACAAATTTCTTAGTGCCTAGTAGCTGTAACAGAGCTGGGGATCTTCACTCTTCTAGCCAAACAGAGGGCAGTTATCCATGAAATGATCTGTTGTCACAGCATCCAGACTCTCACGGCAGACTGTCACACTGCTGAAAACAATGCCTTGAAACCCATCGAAAGCCTCATCTTCAACCCTTTGTCAAGTCTGAAATAAATCCACTCTAGCAGTCATCGCTGCATACATCGAGAGTTCTACAGTCAGCTCTTCACTGATTTTAGAGGGAAACTGTCAGGATGTCTATAAAGTGAAGAGCAAGCAGACTGTCCATTTTGTGAGCATGTTTCATTTCAACACATCTAATCAAACTGTTTTCAAAGAGACCCATTTCAAGATGGAACACACTCAGCTTTATGGTTGGCTTAAACACAATTAAATCACATATGAGGGCGCAGCAAAGGAAAGCATGCTCTGCTCACCCTCCCCTGCAGGTCAGCTAAAAGAACAATATGTTTGCTGACATCCTGTAGCTGGCCAAGTTTGGAAAATCCCTTGGGAAGTTTAGTATTTCAAATTTCTTCCTGGTGTAGTTAGCTAAAGAGTGCTCACAGACAAGTAGCATAGCTTGGAAAGTTACAGGTTTCCAAATTAAATGTTACTTTTCAACACTGTAGCCCGTGGCTACAGCCTGCTAGTAAAATCATGAATCAACCAGTTTGAATTTATGGTTGATTTAAATAATGTACAAATGTAGCATAACACCAATAAATCCTCAAATCATGTAAGAAAATAATAACAGAGACCTCACAGGACAGAGGTGAAGGAATACATCTGTCTGTTGGTAACACAGCCTGTGGGAGGCTGACTGAGCCCGGGTAACACAAGCTGCTGTAATCAACACAGCATCAGTCTGTTGGCTCAGTTTGAACTGTTCACAATTGGAGTCTAAGCTCCAGTAAGTCCACAGATCAGATGACAGGGAAACTGTGCCTACATGAAGGTACACAGCTGTTCTTGTTAGTTGTTTTTATGCATTAAAACTCAAAATACCACAAAGAGCTCAGTGCTTTCACACCAGTAGAAATCGAGGTTTTCTTCGTGCAGTTGAAAAACTCAACCCCACTCGTCTATCATTCTGTATGCAGATGGACAATGGTCCATTAGAATTTGAGAAAATGATCCTGCCACTGATCCTGGCACGTTATCAATCCCATTATCAGCTGATCAAAAACACCATCATTATTAAAAATGCCCTTTATGCTCCGCTCTGTTGTTTTCTCACTCCAACAAGGTGGTGTTACTGATCTGCCCTCAACTACAGCTCAACATGTAACTACTCTAACAGTAACGACATGTTTACAGAGCTGCCTGATCCTGCTCAGAACCACGACAATCGCATCCTAAACATGAACAACAGCTTTTAGACACAAAACTAGAGCATGAGTCACACAGAAAAGCTGTACAGTCGACACCACTGGGTGTCTGGGCTTGTTGCCATGGTTACAACCTCACACTTAAAGTGCTGGAATTTCAAATGGATAAAAAAAAAAAAAAAAAAAAAAAACAGGCTCAGACTCTGAATGTGTGATTAACGACACTACAGAAGTCCTAAGAAGAGAACTTTTCTTTATCCAGCTATAATGGTGAAAAGAAAAAGAGCATCACTGAGATGCAGCACAATAATCGTTTTACCTGATTACCTTTAAAAAAAAAAAAAAAAAACAACAGCAATCTCAGCTGAAGATTATTAACACTTTAAATGCACAAATGTTACCATTATGAAGAATAAATAGAAAAAGCAAACACAGCAGCTTTTTTTCCTTCCTTCCTTGGTCCACATTTTATATTGTTTTACGTTATGGTGACACCCGGTGAGATCGTGTAGATCAGCCATTATTTTTGGTTTAATTTTATTATCTTTATTAAGTTTTTATCTTTATGTAATGTTCACATATATTGTTAATTAAACATACAATTGTTAAAAACTGCATCTTTTTGCAGGCATTTTACTTTAATTAAATTTTAGCTTATGAGAAGCAAAAACAAATGGCTGTCCAGTCGGGAGTTTGACCAACATGGACTTAATCTGGAGAGGGGACCTGCTTGTCCCTGCTGTCCTGCAGCCTGAACAGTGGGATACAGAAGAAACTCGGGTGGCATTCCAATATGTGCATCAGTAAAACCACACAACAGCCATGGAGGTGCTGTTAATCTCCGTCTCTCTTCCACAGCGTGTTTGCTGTCCTGCCATCCTTGCCTCATCCCCAACCAGTCGCAGCAGATGGCCCCGCCCCTCCCTGAGCCTGGTTCTGCCGGAGGTTTCTTCCTGTTAAAAGGGAGTTTTTCCTTCCAATTGTCACCAAGTGGTTGCTCATAGGGGGTCATATGCTTGTTGGGGGTTTTGTCTTTATCTTATAATATAAAGCAGCTTGAGGCCACTGTTGTTGCAGTTTGCTGCTATATAAATAAAACTGAACTGAACAGGCATTAGTGGTCCTTGTGAAAATCACTTATTTAACACAGCTTAGCAGCTGTGTTAAATAAGTTAAATCAGTAACCAGACAACAGGTGGCAATGGAAGTAAAGTTGAGGCCTGGATCTCAGTGACGTGGCAGGATGACCTGAATGTGGCCACTGACCTGCTGCAACAGTCACAATGTGGGAATGTGGGCCGAGGAGATGGACTTGGCTATTCTCCTCAGTCAGGTCACTGGGTTAAGCCCAGAGCGAACCATCTGTAGATGGGCCAACTGAGGCAACAGACATAATGAAGACTGACAAAGTCACTGTGTCAGTGAATTAGAGACTACAGTAAACCTATAATTAGCAAAGGGATCTCGTTTGAACAGCACCTACATGTTAAATATTGGGAACCAGTTTTCTTATAAAGAATGTTGCTGCAGCATCATCTGTTGTTAGAGTTGGGGTTATTTCCACTCTACAGTTTAAACTTCCTGTTGGTACAAAGTTTAAGATGCATTTTATAGCAGTTAATAAACAGCACATTACTGGTCACTGGTTATGAGAATATGAAGGACGACTGTAGGAGAGAGTGGTTAATTTAGCTTTTGAATTGCCAAACCCACTAACCAAATCCTACAGTTCTGTGATTGGTCTTGTTTGCTTCCACAACATATTCTGTAGATGAAGCTCTTCTTCAGCCTGGTCATTGGTCCACACCAAAGTTCGACTCTGAACTTTCCCACAATAAAAGAATCAGCCTGGGTTCATTAAAACAGACCCAACCCACTCAGCTGTGGAAACACTACCTCTGTGCAACATACATGTGATTAAGCTTACCCATGTAGCCCAGTCTCCACTTGGAAAAGGCCACAATGCTGCTGCCTATCCAGAAGAATTCCTCCACCACATGTGTCAGAAAGACCTGCTGCTGGCTGTTATTGGGAACAACATCTTTGTTTTTGTCCTCTTCTGTGATAAAAGCCCCTTTAGCCAAAAGCCCAGGCTTGTCCCCAGTCGCTGCAGCAGCGGTGGTACACACGAGGGCTGAAGACAGCGGGCTGACGCTGAAGATGCTGTTCATCTCGGATTTGCTCACTTATAACAGAGATTGGTTTTGATGCTGCCTCGAAGTTGCAGAAATGTTCCCACAGACAGTTAATCTGAATCAATGTGGATAATCTTTGGGTAAATTAAGTTTGCAAAAAAAGGAAGTCACAACTTCTTTAAAGTGAACGTTCTTTACGGGTAAACCATCCAACTCCACTAACCACAAAAACAAAAGGATTATTATCAGTAATATCAGGGGCTGCTTTCATGTTTAGCTTCAAAACAGATGCAAAGAAAAAAGCACACGTAAAAAAAAAAAAAAAAAAAAATCACTCTCTGAACACTTAAAACAGTTTATCAATAATCTTCAAATGTTATTGCATCAGCAAACCTGCTCATCTCAAAACCATCTCAATATTGTTCCATTTCAGAGCAAAAAGATGCAGCTTTGGTGCCGTGTCGTTGTTTCCTTAGTCCCCAGGATACACTCAGCCAAAACGGCTGGCTTCTCATGAAAGACAGAGAATGCAGCAATGGACAGCAGAACAGACATGAAAGCACAACTCACAAAGGTAACTGTGCAACATGTGTTGGGCAGGCAGAAATCCTAAATCCCTAGCAAGCTGTAATCCCAGTCCAGGAGATTTGCTAAATGTGTGAACTGAAATGCAACAACCAACAGGAAGAGAGTGAGAAAAGTCAGCAAGGCTTAACAAGGTCATAATAAAAATGTTCCAAAACCAATTAAAAAGTCTGTTTAATATGAGTCGTGTCAACGGACATTTCTTCTGAAAGAGAGGTGTCAGGTACCCTCACCCATCTGCAGATATCGCATAGTCCCAGCTAAATCAAAGCACCTAGCTGCCGTCTTACTGGGGCTCAGATATCGGTACATATGAGGAGTTTACCATTATCTTGCACCAGATTAATAAATTCATCATAAAACAGGTCAAATTCCAGGCTCTTGACTGTGTGATGCAGCAGTGTGAGCATACTGAGTCAAAATAATGTCAGAGGCTTGGATTGAAATCCCTGAGCTTGACAAACAGATACCAGATACTGAAGACAGAACAGCTTAATGTAGAAAAATGACAAAACCATATGAAACTACAACCAAGATTACATTGATAATATTTGGAATTTTTATTTCTATGTTCAGATTGCATAAAAACTAAACGTATGATGCAGTTTGACTTTTCCTCTTTTTCTGGTACCACAGGTAATGTAGGCAGCACATGTACCACCAGCTGCAACTCTTATGGAGGTGATGGTGGCAGCACACGCCTTATACCACATGAAAAAACAAGGATGCCCACAAGCACAGGAAATGCTACACATGGTGATGCCATAACAGCTCTGCTCTCTAAAAGGCACCAGGTATCAGGTACCATGCAGACATCACGTGTTCCCATTCACCATTCAAGAGAACTGGACCCAGTTGATTTACATGCGAAATGACTGTACAAATGTGTTTGTGTATTTTAGGAATTTAAAGGCAGAATGAGCTGAGGTAACTGAAACGTCCACAGTAAGAACCTCCAGTACACATCCATCACTACACACCTTAGCATCTGCATGGCCTACCACTTAGTGGACAGTCGACTTGACATTGTTTGTTAGATTGGATAAGTGACATCTAAATAAACATATTGATCCATTCAAATCGACCAAGCCCTCTTTGATTTGCACAGCATGTCTTTATCCTGTCTTCCTTCTCTCACCCCAACCAGTCACAGCAGATGGCCCCGCCCCTCCCTGAGCCTGGTTCTGCCGGAGGTTTCTTCCTGTTAAAAGGGAGTTTTTCCTTCCCACTGTCGCCAAAGTGCTTGCTCATAGGGGGTCATATGATTGTTGGGTTTTCTCTGTATGTATTATTGTAGGGTCTACCTTACAATATAAAGCGCCTTGAGGCGACTGTTGTTGTTGTGATTTGGTGCTGTGTAAATAAAATTGAGTTGAATTGAAAATTTCCAGCATGAAATCCTATGTTCTATTTAGCTAAACAAACAGGTGGCCACTCCATCTCTGATAAACCCCACTGTTTGGTCTCAGACTGTTGAGACATGGGATTATCACTGTTTGCACAGTCTTAGCTCAATATCTCTCTGCACTGAGCCCACGTTGATAACAAGCCTCATCATTATGACACAAGATATGCACTGACCAGCCACTTTATTAGGTACAACTTGGTACCAGGATGGACCCCCCCTATTGCCTTCAGAACTTCCAGAACTCTAAATTTTTTGCAGCATAGTTTTACCAAGGTGCAGGAAACATCTAAGATTTGTCATCATGTCATTGCTTCAAATTTGTCAGCTGCACATCAACCATGCAAATCTCTTATTCTCATCCCAAATGTCCTCTAGTAGATTGAGACTTGCTGGAAGCCATTTGAGTACAAGAAACTATTACAACAGATGTCAAACTCATTTTACACGGTGTCCTACATATGGACCAGGAAAATTCCCCTGTAAGTGTAAAGATGTAAACTGCATATTTAATCCGTGCGATATCTTCAGCTCAATACATGTCTCAGTTTTTCTACACGATAAAGAAAAGCTGCTGGAATAAATGACAGAAATCTGTCAGCGCTTTTAGTCTGTACTGGGGGTTTAATCTTGTCCCATCTTTCCAATATGCCAGTATATTTGTCCATGTTTGAAATTGGTCTGATGTTTTCAACATCGCCTCTTTCAAGTGAACAAGTTCAAAACCAGATTGGAAAACTCTGGGTCGACTTGTAGTTAGAAAACACTCTTTGGCAACAGCCTAGCCTGATCGCTGACCTAGTTAGCTGACCTAACGAACAAATACAGGCGGAGCTTCTACAACCAACCCTTCTTTGAACACCGTTAACTTCATTTCATACACATATTAATATTATTATTACTACTACATGGCAAAATGTTACCCAAGAACTCAAAACCTGCCCTGATGTCTTATTATTATTAACATATAATACAATCCTGCCAAGTGAGTAATTTACTAATAACACCAGACATAAAAATTTACATAATTAGTGATGGAGTGTGGTATGTAGTCTGAGCAGATTAAGAAAAATGGAGTACAAATAACGGTCGATCACTCACCATGACCTCGGCGTTTGGCCTTGACGATTCTGCCAGGCAGACATTTTGAAACGCTGTTTTCAGACAGCAAATTGGGTTTATAATATACTCGTTTGCGCACGTTGGCCCGAGTGGCATAAACATGAAACTTAGGGAACTCATCCCTGAGATACCAAAGACATGCCGAATGGTGGAAGGACGCAATTTGTGGCATAACAGCTTTTGGATATTATTAAATAAGACTAAAACGAGACCGTCCACTTCCGGGCTTGCCGGTCTTTTTCACTTTCAATATTATGAAAGCCTTAAAAACAGAAAGAAGATGCGACGAAAGCGGCTTAATAATTTGTCGTATTCATATCCACAGATGGTCAAATCGCAGAACAACATTATGCCGGATGTCATTTTGCAGCCGGGTCCTGCACGTGTATGCGCATGTCGCATTGAGGCACACTTTAGAATATCGGAAATATAAACTCTATAACACAACATTTGTGTACAATGTGAATATTAAATGTTAAAGCATGTGTTTTAGAGTATTTCCTATAAAAAAAAATACAAAATACACACTCTTGTCCCAGTTTTACAAACGTTTATTAGTCTAATCCTTTCATTTTACTAAAGGGATGTTTTATTTCATATCACACCTTGACACACTGACATCACTTTAATGGAATTATTAGTGTAAAGGATGGTATTCCTCTTTGGAATTCTGAGTTGTGGATATATTTTCTAATCTGTCAGATGCAGAAAGTCTCTGATGAATAGTGAAAAGTACATTTCCAGCTTTCAGTTTAGTTTTCTAAAGTGTTTCTCTCTAAAAACACCATTTTGTGCTGGTATTAGACCTTAAAAAATAAGTCAACTAGATGTAATGTTGATGTTTTATAGGTAGTCCAGAGAAAAGTAGGACAAAACCCAGGTGACTAATTTTACCAGGTGAAACGTCTCCTTCGACTGTGTTGTTTAATCGTGCTAGAATCAGATTTTAGAGACTCTGAGAGGGTGCAGACTCTTGTCTATTGCAGCGGACACATTAGTGGCCCTCTGAGTCTGATGATTGATGACAAGCAGTGGGAAAGCTCCCTGTGGGCAGAGTGGGGGAGTGGAAAATCAGTAGTTTGTCATTTAAATACTATCACCTCACAGAAATATGTTTGCTGTGTGTGAGCCTGTGCACTAGGTGTGGAGTTCACTGACTGTGGTGCTAAAAACCTCCAGCAGCACTAAACCTGTACTATGGGACAGAAAAACTGAAAAAAATACCATCCAAGATTTTGCATCAGCTGCTGTTTCATGTACTTGTTGCTTGGCCTGCTGGTGCCCATCCATAGGATAACCAAGCCGTAGAGGAAACCTTCTTCAGCTTGATGGCTCCAAGGGCTGGGCCATAACCTACTGTTCACTTTTTTTTCTTTTTTTTTTAATGAAAGAAATTTTCATATACAAAACAAGTCAAGGAAACAGACCAGATTTGTAACAATTTACATTATAAAGATGGTGAAGCAAGTCATCATAACTTTACAGGGAGAAAATAAAAGTTTCTAGGGTCGAGTAATAAGGAACATAGACCTTTTGACATAGGCAGGAAAATTAGAATAGCAAGTATTTTGTGATTTTACAGTATAGTACAGCAGTTTTTTTGTTCATATTTGAAATAAGCTTAAGTCACTTAAAATGTTGACAGAAGTAATTCAAGGAGACAGTAAACATAGTAGAGGCATTCTTCCACTTACATAAATGACTAAAAAACGTACATAGTACTATTACAAAATTGACAACATCTGAGATTTCAGAATCCAGATTGTCCATAAAGTAAAGAATATCCTTAGATGTGAAGGAAGGTATATTGGAAATTCTGAGTGAAACCCAACAGTGTATTCTCCAACTGGATAAATGCCGGATATGATTCTGAAGTGTGTTTCTTTCATTTTAGGCGCAAGTGGGTATTTTAGGTAAAAAGACAATGACTTTTCTTTCAACATGCTATCAAGGTCATGTCTGACATTGACATTGTAGTTGCAGAATACCATTTGCTTAAAGGTATTAGAGATTAACTTATTATTAAATTGTTTGTCCTTTATTGAGGTATTACCTATCGTCAGTGAAGGTAAGCATGTTCTTATTAGCGAATACTTTAAAGTATTTACGATAAGATTTATCAACGGTGTGGGTAGTGCTTTACAAACCTTATTATAATTATTAAATGAAATGTCTATTTTATACTTATCAATAAATTCTTCATAAGATAGCAAGTTTCCATTTTTATCAAGCAGATCAACAACAAAACATACACCGCTATCACACCAGTCTGATTTAAATAAGGACTTCTTATTGATGACTATAACCCTATTATTCCACAACACAGAATTGTGAGGTGAAAAATTGTGGGTGAAAATTAGTTTCCCAAAATTCAAAGTTTGCTTATAGAAACTAGACAACTTAAGAGGAATCTTAGATATTTCATAATCACATCTGAGCAGAAAATCTAACCCCCCGACCTTATTAAAGAGTTTGTTTGGAATATGGTACCACATAGATTGAGGATAGGAAATGCAGTCTTTTATCCATCTGAGCCTGAATGCAGCAATAATGGACCCAAAGTCTAAAGCTTTCAAGCCCCCATTTTCATAGTCTTTAACTAATTGTGATTTGCATATATAATGTGTTTTATTCTTCCAGATAAAGCTGAATATAATAGAATTGGACAGCTTAACCATTTTAGGAGATGTAAAAATTGAATAACAGGGGTATATGAGTCTTGCTTTAGACAGTAAGATACGACTTAATATAAATCACGTGTTAACCAATGATTGAATATTTTTTTAACTACATTTAATCTAGGAGTTATGTTATTATTCTCTCGATCATTAGTATTTTTACTGATTATTAAACCAAAGTATTTTACTTCCTCTTTTACTGGAATATTGTTAATAGTACTTTGATTACAGCTGTGTACAGCTAAGATTTCACATTTTTTAAGGTTTAGTGTTAAGCCGGATGCTTTTGAGAATGAAAGGATTTTATTAATTGCAGTAGAGACCATATTTACATTCCTCAGAAATAAGGCAGTGTCATCAGCAAATTGACTAATTTTAAATTCTTTATCAAGAATGTTTATGCCTTCCAGATCTGAAGAGAGTTTGATATAAATGGCAAGCATTTCTGCTGCAACAATAAACAATAACGGGCTAATAGGGCATCCCTGCCGAATGCCACGATTAATTTTAAAACTATTAGAAAACCCTTGATTGAGTGCAATACTACTTGTTATATCTCTGTACAACATTTTCACTACACTAACAAATCTGGGACCAAAACCCACAGCCTCCAGAGCTTTAAATAAAAAATTATGCTCCAAAGAATCAAAAGCTTTAAAGAAATCAAGAAATAAAATAAGGCTATCATGAGGAATTAAATGATTGTAATCCAACATATCTAATACTAAACGGGTATGATGATGGATATGCGTCCTTTTATAAAGGCTGACTGTGTCTCATCTATTATTTGAGTTATTCCTGTTTTTAATCTGTTGGCATAGACATGAGCTAACAATTTGTAATCACAGCAAAGAAGTGTGATAGGTCTCCAGTTATCTAAAAGGATAGAGTCCTTGTTTGGTTTAGGAAGTAAAGAAATTATTCCTC